TTTTTTTTTTTTTTTCTTTAAAAAAGGACGCTGGTAAATTGTTACTAGAGTTTTTTTTTCTCTTCTTTCTCATTTTTTCTTTCTCTCTCTTCCTCTCTCTCTCTCGTTTCTGTTGGAGTTATCGTCATTGTCGAAAATGGATGTTGAAAGTCGCCGAATATTGTCGTATTCATATATATGGGTATTAGCATATATCCAGGAAACACGTGACGCGAATGCAAGCTGCCTCCACTCTTCTTCTACTTCTTTTTTTCTTCTCCCTTTCAAATATATATATTTTCTGTATTTTTTATTATAATTCGTCTCTTTGAAAAAAAGAAAAAAAAAGAAATTCTTTTCTTAAAATGTGCGACTAAGAAACGATGATGAAACAAATTCGATGAATTACGACAAATGTTTAAAAATGTTTTATTATTATTCGTAAGCGAATTTATTAATTTATTAAATGAAAATTGATTTGGCCATATGTTTATCACATGGGTTAGTACAAATTTATTATTTAGTTTAGTTCGTTTTTGTAATTTAAGCGTCATAGCGTGTAAACGCAAGTATTAGAGTTGGAAGGAAACGTAAGAAAGGAAACGAATGTTTGCTCCGTAATTTCCGTCCTTTCACTTCTAATCGTCACGACGATTTTAAAGATCTCAAAGAAAGAGAAAGATTTAATAAAAACATATATATATATATATATAATATGCATATTTTCACTAGGCATAAAATATTTAAATACTTACTTAAAAAAAATAAATAAAATAAACGAATAAAAGAAAATTGAATCGAAAACAATAATATAATAAAAACAAACGCAATAAGAACAAACAAAAAAAGAAAGAAAAAAATAAAAATTAAAAAGACAATTAAACAAATAATTCTCCAATGAATGGGAGAATAAGTATATATATATAAAAAAAGAAAAAAACCAAAAAAAAAAAAAAGAAGAAGAAGAGGAAAGATAACAAATTATCTCTAACATTTTCGTTAGACGTTGAACCTGACTTTTCGAAATAAATAAATGTTTTCTCTCTAACGTTCTCGATAAACTCGACTCGTAAACGAGACAGCACGTGTGCGGATAGCATACACATCTATTATTATCACTTTAAAGTCTCCAACTTGGCCAATAGAAAGAGAGAATAATATCTCTCTCTCTTTCTATCTCTCTCTTTCTCTCTCTCTTTTCCTCTTATTCCACTCTGCTCTCTTACAACACACACACACACACACACACATATACGCAAACGTACATACTCTTCCTATAAATATATATATATATATGTATATATGTATATATATATATCTTTCTCTATCATAGATCTCGTCAGAACTCTAACTCATCCATCGAGCCATTTGGTTTCCGGCGCAGTTTCTCTCGACGTTTATCGTACACGCATATGTTCCCTACTTTTAGTATCACATCGATGCCCATTGTTGTTATGTTATTAAACACGGTTACGTGTTGGTGGGTATGTTCAAAGAAAAGAAACGATAACGCTTAAGATAAAACGAATAAAAAATATGTTACGTCGTGTTCGTGAAACACGTTAAAGAGTATTTGAAAATTTATGGATATATATTTATATATATATGTTATCATGAAAGATCGAAGTTTAATATTGTCGCTTGGTGTATGACCGAAATATTAAAGAATAATCCCAAGTATTCTGTGGTCTTTTTTGGTACCGACGTATTTTGTATGTGTTGATAAACGAACATGTGAATCTTCACATTTTCCAATTTCAATATTTTTCAAGGTAATATATATATATATATATATATTATATTAAGGAAGTTGGTAAGTTTCTTTCGAAACTATTTCGTAAAAACCCCCACCCCAACCCTGTAACACACAAAATTTGTCTTAACGTCTTTGAGAAATCAAGATAATAAGAATCGTGGTATCTCGAATGTTATTAATAAATATTCATACTTTGTAATAACACAAAGATATATTATTAAAGATATAATGTAACATATCCAACAGTTATGTTCTAATAAAATTATACGATATTTGATTTGATTTTTCTGTTAATCCCGTTGAAGCACGGAAAACATTAAAATAATAACAATTCAATTAAATTTTTTTCTTAATTAAATGTAAATCAAATAACTCTATCGTGCAAATTTACGTATCAAAAAGGTGGGGTACTCTTTTAATACCGTCATATCTCCAAGATTTTAAAAAGTTTTATTAAATAAATGTATATATATATATATATAAATACTTTATAGAGATAGAGAGAGGATAAACGTGATATGATAATAATTAAATAGAATTAAATATAATATACGTAAACATGTAAATTAACAAGGACGTGTGTGTTACACGATGTATATTAACGAATATTGAATATATATATGAAAATATTTGAAAGAAAAGGAAAGTAACGAAAGTGAATTTCAATGTTTTCCCTCCAAAACGAATACGGGGTGTCATTGATCTCTGATTTTCTATTTACAGTATATTCTTCTTTCTCTTTCTCTCTCTCTCTCTCTCTCTCTCTCTTTCTCTCTCTCTC